CATTCAACTCGGGGTTCGCCTTAAGGCGCGTAGTGCTGTAGGAGTTGAAGGCAATGGCTCTGCCGAAGACCAAATTTCCCAAGCTTTCCCCGTCTAACTTTATAACGAAACCCCAAATAGAGCTTCATAAGCCCTTCCTAAAATATCGTGAAAGCCCAAAATCCTTATAAAGCCCAATGGTAATGTACTCTTTTCAAAATCCGGGCACCCCGTTTGAACTCAGGTCCTTGGAGTCACGGCTTGAGTTCCCGAACCTGAAACTCCGAACCCTGACGCTCCAAGCCTTTGGTCCTGTTGCCGATCGGCAAACCTGCAACATTGAAAACACGGAATCGACCATGGTTCCGTTTACCTATAGGGTTAGCAACAGTAGTGCAGGAGTTTGTCCATCAACCCTGGGCCCAAAGAGCCATGCAGAAACCGTTTCAGCACGCGGGAAACGAAGCCATATAAGGGCCTGACAAAAAAAGTACCACCCCAGAGACTTCAAGTACCGAGGCCGCGGTGCGAAGATCCCGATGCAGACCCGAGCAGACATGGGAATGCATGCCGGGTTGCCTAACGATACTCAGCAAAGGGTTTAACATCTTCGGGTTTGTGGGGTTCGGAGGTTTTGGGGTTCAGGTCTAAAGAGCCTCCGATTCCGTCATGGTCTTGTTTTGCATGGAAGTTCAGGTTCTTGCTGCGTGACTACAGGGGTGGTCCTGTGTCTGACAAGGGTGTCAAAAATCACATGAGCCTGTGCACTCCGTGAGCGCTTAGAGGACAGCATAGGCGGAGGATTTGGGAAGCCAGCGGTAGGATGTCACGTTTACAAAGCTTGACTGACCGGGAGAGGGCGACAGTTGGTTTCTAGTCCAGCGTGTAGACCGAGCAGCTTTGAACGGTGGAACAAGCGTTGGCTAAACCGTAGATCTCAAATTTAAACCTTTAGCCTTGCACCCGTCACCTGTGTAGTGGGGATTCCTCCGTCGCAGGGATCTTAGTTAGCGAGCAGATTCTCATCAGCCGAGCCAGCTCTAAACCCAATCTCAAAGACTGCAACTTCAGAGAAACAGGCTGCAGATGCACTGACGTCTTGAAGCTGCACAGCATGACGGCTTCGGGGTCTAGGGTTGCGGATTGATGAATGTTCAGGACTCAGGGCTACGATTTTCCAAAACCCGACAACCTTCATGACTGCCAAGACCGCCGTCCCCACGAAGCGCGGAACCGACGCGATGTTCGGTAATGCGCCACCTGGGCGCCGCGGCGGAAAGTGTCATTAGACAGACTTCTGGACAGTCTCGGTTTGGCTGTATCTTTCGGTGGATTTCTAGGTGCTATGGCCGTCTTGGTAGGATGTTGTTTGGTTGACGTTGGTGCACGGGTCAGACCTTTGTGCAGAGTTTGAGGCACATATCGGTGCTAGCGTGGGCCTCCACCATTCTGCTGTCTAGTTTCAGGGATTTCTGCACCCTTTAAGCATTGAAAACTGTTCAACGTTTGGACCGTGACCTGCCCTGAGTGCACTTCAAAACCTTTACCTGCGCCTCAGAAATAGTGGTTCGCAACCCCCGCGCCCAAACCGACTAGATAATTTTGTTTTGTGCACCCGGTGATTCCTACATCTTGAATCTTGAGAAGCCCTAGACCTTGAGCCCTATAGCCTCAACCCTGAACCCTAAACGGTCCGTCTACAAGGGGTCGGAGCTACACGGTTCTATGGGGCCCCTGATTATATATATATATATACATACTATATTGCACACTAAGACCCATTCTTAATCATTTGAGCCCCCATGGGTTCCAGAGTACCACACATTATTGCCTTGTTGATGACACTGAAGGAACCATTGTGACATAAAAGTTTGGCCTTGTTCAAGTGAGAGTTGGGCAGGTACGTGCCGGGACGAGGCCGTGGAGCCACCGGTTTCATCGGTGGTGTCAGTCGAGACGAGGCGCGTCTGTCGATGATGTTTGCGCACGGTGTGATATAAAATGGGGTTCAGGGCTGTACAAGGGTTTGAAAGGGTGAGAAGGGATAGTAGGGAATGATAGTGGTCTTAGGTGTTTTTAATAGGGATAAGAGGGACTTTGCAACTTTAGAAAGTAGCTGATAAGTCCGGTGCTTCAGTTCTCTAAGTCAGGTTCTGTACTTACCACCACAAGTACGTCTTGCATACAGGGTCCCAAGAGCCCGTATGCAAGCTCCAATCAGGATTAAGGTCTGGGGGCACCGGTTTTGGCGCCCTCGGGCCTACGGCTTGGAGGTTTTGTTCGAGATTGTGGTGCTCCCCCGGTCTCCAATAGGAGGTGTTCGGATTCGATAGTCCGACTTGGGAGGAGCCATGTCCTTAACATGGGTCTAAGGGATCTGCAGTCTTCAGGTTTGAGCAGCAGGGTACAGGCGGTAGGGTGCAAAACATCAGATGCGCCCCAACACGACAACTGCCCAAACGGCGACCGGTACCAACCACTCCAACGAGACGATACGCAAAACATAGCTGAAGACGGAGGAGGTAAGACTGGGACCTGAAGAATCAGCGGCGCTACTGCAGCTTCATCTTTCGTCGTCAGAACATGTTGCCAACGGTTCACATGGTCGAAAATAGTCCAGCTCGGGTTGAAAGTGGCGTGAGCTTGTTAGGGTTTCAGGTGCTCTCAGGCTGCACTTTAGTGTTGGGCTGTATGCTCTCTGAGACTCGATATGTCAGGTGGACCGCGACGACGACAAGGCTGACCTCGGAGATTCCAACTACGATGAGTTCAGCGGCTACTCCGGGCCCGGGGGGGGGGGCTCAGGACGGAGGGCCGCCGAGGCTTTGAGGCTTTACGACTAGCCCCTTGGGCCCCTGGGGGGACCGTGGAACTTCAAGCCAGAGAGAGATAAAACGCAAACAAAAAGATTGAAAGCCGAAAGCCTCCCAAACCTTTACCAAATCTTCTTCTTTCTTTGGGCTGTTGAACCTTATGCTGTGTTTTTTTATCGCTTTTTGGTGAAGGTTGTAGGAGGGGGGGTCTTCCAACTCTAATGGACTTTATGGGCGTGTCTTGTCGGGTTTAAGCTTCAAGACCTTAGGGTGAGAAACTTGACCCCGGCGCGCACACGGCGCAAAAAAAGTTACGAATAAACCTCTAACTGCCCAACAGGCGCAGTTTCATTAGAAATTCCTCTGCGTGGTATAAAAATTGGAGTGTAGCAAGCAACCCCCCAGTCCGAAGAACTCAGTACTTGTCGTTTTCCTGGGCAACGGGACCTTTAAGAGGCCTAAATTCCCCAAATCGGTAAGAGGCGCCGGACATACCCAGAGGAGACCAATAAGCGCCGAGCCACAGAGCCATTGCAACTGCCAGTGGTTGTCCCTATTTCCCCTTGCACTCTTCGTTTTTTAGATGAGTTTCACGGCAGCTGCAGGATCGTCGGCTTGAAAGGATATACGGTTGAAGACGTAGGCTCTTGAAAACCTGAACGTAGGGACCTTCTTGCCGGGATCACTAATTAAGCAGGGCTCGTTGCTTGAAAGCTTCATTTAGCAGAACCTGCTAGAATGCGCTTTTGGCGTCCTTTTTCACTTGTCTCGGAGTATACTTCAACGGCCGATTTCAGTAAACATGAAAGCCCCTATAGTGTGTCCGGATGGTTGGGCGCCTTGCGTCGTGGGGAATACTGTTGGGGGTTTAGGGTTTAGGCTGTAGGGGCAGGGCGTTATCGCTTAGGGTATAGGTTTGGGGTGTAGGACAGAGAGACAAGATGAAGCATGTTTTGGCCTGTCTGTGTCTGTGTGTGTGTCTGTGTGTCGAGTTAGCCTTAGGTTGTTGGACACTGACTACGCAAGGGTGGGATAGGCGGGTACAAAGGCCCTGCAATGTCCTACAAGCCCCACGAGAACTCGAGCCAAACGCCTCGAACCCCAATAGACCTTGTGTAGACCCTTGGTCCCGCAGAACCCTGCTGCCGAAACGTTTCGGACCAAGTCGCCGGACAGCGGGAACCCCTAAAAGGGGGTTTTCTTAAAGACAGCTCCCCGTTTTAAGGGGTTCGGGGTGTGGGTCTTACTCTTTCGGATTTGTGTTCGCAGTTCTAAACTCGCTTCCTACAGGGCGAAGCGTTTGTCTGGGAGGTAGCTGGGTTCCCTTCCAAGAAGTGAAGTCCTCTCTGAAGTCGGATGTCTGAAGCCCTGATATCCCACCTCTTTGCGCGGCAGCGAAAGCTTCAACTGTTTACCCCGCTTAGGCTTTGGGGAGCATCCCCTCAAAGCAGCCAAGCCCGAGCCAAAACTGTCGTCGTAATGATGCTGACTTCTTCGCGGTTCTGGTGGTCAATCTTTTCAGAAGCGTGACCATGTTTCTAGGCATCATGCATGTTACAAGTGTGACGGTTCTCGTCAAACTCGACCCTCAGAAACAGACATAGGCTGCTCTTCCTGTGACGAGGCTTCCCCAGTCGCCATGGTTTCTTAGGGCCGCATGCATGGGCGGCGCTTATGCGGGGGCCAGCCAGAAGGAGTTGCCACCGGGGACTGGGATTGCCTTCGAGGCCGCTGGGAACCTCGGCGTCTCTTGAGTTGCCTCAGGGTTTCGGATCCTTTTGTTCAAGGATCCCTAATGAGGGACCCGTAGCTGCAAGAAGCGAGACGGTCATGTTTTTGCGCATACCCGTGTTTCGATCCTGACTGTTTATCATCTGCTGCAGAGTGCATAAAGCTGTTCTGTGTCGCTGTGGTAGTTCTAGTGTTTGTATTCGTAGTCGTGGCAGTTGTGGTCTCTGTCCTCCCCCTTCTCCACGTGCTTCTGCTCCTCCTCTCTCGTCTTCGTCGAAGTAGTAGTAGTAGTAGTCGTCGTCGTCGTCGTAATAGGTGGTCGTGCAATTGCCACTGTGTGGTGCGCATCTTGGGCTGGTGGGCTGCTCGTGGGAGCCTCGGGTGCTCTTGAAGTGGCACTTGGGACTGGAGGTTCTGGAATGCTAGGTGGTCTCGCATGATGACACCATAGTCGATGCAAGGATTCGATATTTGGCGATGGTGACCGCGACGTGTCGTGCAGCCTGGCAAGATCATATGGAAAGCACCAAGCTACAAGAGTGATAGTTGGATTTGGGATGCCCCGCTGACATACAGTAATGCCTGCCGTATTGGCCATCCGAAACTCCATGCCGAAAATCAGATGAGAGTTTTCCGACCTTCGTCTTAACAGAGAAAGCTTTGAATTGGGGATGCTCTAGAGTATGCAGCCCGGTTTGACCCAAGACAGACCAGTCTCGGTGTCCTCCAAACTCCTTCGACAGCAAGACTTCGTTTCGCAGCTGACATGGAGAGGTTGCTCGAAATGACGTTCCAAGGTATTCATTGGTAACCAGCCCCCATGTACTCAGACGCGAAGCCAAGTCATCACACGCACTGAAACAGAGGCAGAGCACGACCCTCGATACGGCGTCGCCCATCAAATCCGTGCCTTGGTCCGTGACGGTAAGCCTAACTTTGCCTGCTCGCTTTGGAGCTTCACCAATCTAGATGGTTCGTTCGGAACAACATCCGGAATCGGTAACCTCGGAACTACCAGAAGGAAGGTTGACACTGTCGGATGTCATTCTCTCCCCTCTGCTAAAGCATCTCGTATCTAAAGGCATTGAGTTTTGGAGTTAGGGTGCAGGGTATGTGGATTTAGACGATGGCGAAGCCTTATCACCAACCCCAAACTATGCCGGGAACCCCCAAGCCCTGTTACTGTTGTTCGGATTCTAAACTAACATATCTTGGTGTTTTCATGTTACAACCCGCCTAGGCCACTGAAGCCCAAAACCCGAAACCCCAAGCGCTAAGAATGCTAGAACCCCAAAGCAAAACGAGTCCTGGCGTTCGTCTTCGGTAGATGCGAAGCCAGGATACGTTCTTGGCCAATGCAGCCGAGAGTGGGTGGAGCTGGACGTAGAGCGAAGATATCTTTGGTTTCGGCCCCCTGATTGCTGGCTTTGGGGGTGCTTTCTCGAGTCGGATATCAGGTGAGTTTCAGGCTGTGGAGGCTTTCGCATCACAGATGTGTGGGTTTCGGGAGCGTGTGGGATCGAGAATTCCATGTGCAGGGTTAGCCTGGTCACTCGTATCATGTGACTCCCGCTGCAGTTGGGCCCCTCAGATGGTGTGAGCCGATATACTGCAGGTCCCCGCGATCCGTTCACCACCGTCTGTCTACCCTAGCAACAACCTAGCGAGTGAAACGGCTTTGAGGAAGCAAGCCCCGTAGACACAGACCTTCACCGTCGTTTCCTGCTAAACTACATGTAAGATATGTATAAGACATTTGTTTGACCCCGGGGCTAAACCCTAATCCCTCAGCCTCACCCAAACAAGACGTGGATGCACACTCACCTAAATGTCAATCCTAAGTGTCCCGTAACCAACAGCATACTATGAGGTAACAAGCAGCTGCAGCAAGCTAAAAGAACGCTTGCAGAGCTCAGGGATCCTCGCCGCGGCGTGACTTTCCGACTACAGGGCCACAGCCTTTGGAGCCCGGGGCCTACTTTGCTATTTCGGGCGGAAGGGCGGAAAGGGGGGGGGGGGGGGTTGGAAGGGTGACTCTAAGGGTCATATCAGGTTTCACAAAGGTTCCACAGTGCATGTAGAGGGGTTGGGGAGTAATTAGTAGTAGCACTTCCTTATACTAGTAGTGAAGCTGCCCCCAAAACCGTAAGGCCCGAAGCCCGAGAACCCTGAAGTGTGAACTTCTGAAGCCGTTGATGCAAAAGCTATGCAAAGCTGACAGCCCTTCATTGCAGACTGTTTTGCAGGCCCTGAAGCCCGGTCACCTCAAACCATTAACCCTAAGCTCCGGTCATGGCGCCCTTCCTTTAAAGGTCCTGAAGCTTGAACTCCTCAAGGCCTGAAGTCCCTCAAGTTGTGCTTCGCGACTTCTTCCGCCAAAGAAAACTTACAAAAGAAAGGCCTTAATGGCAGACTAGCTTGCTTCAATCCTTGTAGGATAGCCGGACACTCAGGGGCTTAATGTAGGGGCCCTAACAACTACCTATAACATTTTGGGGGTTCCTATTTCTCATTATTGTCGTCATGGGCCCCAAAACCCTACTCTAATTATTCAGGCTCCTATATTTTGGTCTGAGGCCTTTACACCTCGTAGGTTTTCAAGAGGGGCTCGGCTGTTGGGCCTGCAGACCCCGAAGCAAACGACACCTTGTCGGTGTCGTTTGACCAGGGGGCCTAAGTAGACAGACTTGACGGCAAGGCCGGGACGTGTTGATCTCCAGCCTCGCTTGGTCCACTATGCTCCTTGACAGAAATTTGCACGATCTGGGTTTTTATAGAAGGGCTTCGTATGTACGGTTTATGGCCTAGGGTTTAATAGCGTGCAGGATTTAGGGTCTAGCAGCTGTAGGGAACCATTGTCTTGTTTGGGTTATTTATGGCCTGCCGCAACTAAGATGTCGATATGTTTTTCTCAGGGACTGCGGTACTTCTGAGATTGACGATTTTGTGTTGTTGTTTGTGCTGCGCAGCATGAAGCCCCAAACAACCTTCACTCAGAATAGCGGGGTTGGTGCAGAGTAATTTTAACGCTACGCCGCCCGCCTCGGCTGTGTAGCGGCAGGCTTGAGGGAGCAGGAGGGGAAGGGGAGGGGAGGGAGGGGGGAGGGGGGACGGGGGGGGGAGGCCTGGGAGGGGGGGGGGGAGGCCGACAAATCAGTGAAATGGAGGGAAGCCGGACAAGGGAGTGGCAAACGAACGCAAAAAACGGGTGTCTCCAAACATTTGGGAGGAGGATTAGGTAGGGTACCTGGTAACCATCAAGACGCCTGGGCCTCTGGCCTCGGCGGATTGTAGGCCCTGCTTGAGGCCACAAGCCTCGTTTCATAAGGGTATTCGTACAGAGATCCACAAATACTAAGCCCCGTACAGCCTGCCCGACTTGCAGCAGCTGATCCTGCGTGGCTTACTCAGAGCCCTGCGAGTTGACAGAGGGCTTTCTGGTGGTTCCGGGTGCAGGGGTGCAAGCCTTTAGGCTATGAGGTCTTGACGTGTTCTGATTCAGGGTTCTGGGGTTTTGTGGCAGTCAAGTCAACTGATGACTTGAAGTTTACACCCCTGGATAGGGATAATCACCAATCCAGAAAACCATAACTCGCTGAAGCCCGGAAACTAAAAAGCCTGACGGACCCGAAAGTCCTAAAGCTGTAAAACCTTCAAACCGAGAAGAGTCTAATATGAAGGGCCTTAACAGCTACCTAGTAGCAGTAGCGGCACCCTTACTCAAACGACTTGAAGAATTTTTGCAAAACTCAAACCACAAACCTGAAATTGAGATTCCTGGAAGTCTTTGAGGCCTCTCGAGTCCGAACGCAGCTGCATACGCTTGTGTGCCGCTCTGCCGAATTTGGGGGGGAGTTTGGGTTTAGCGGCCCAGGCAGTTAGACTGGGCTCTTAGCAAGCACTCCGTGCCTGTACCTGCAACCCAAGACTCTATGCTACCGGGATTGTTCCTATTTGTTGAGCTTTTGGAAGCCAGAGGATCTAGAATTTCCATGTCGGCAAGTATACGTTGCAGCAAGTTTCCTCCGGAAGGGCTTTGGCATCAAACCTTCATACCCCAAGACAACGCTGCTACTGGAGCCCTAAGCCGCACGCCTTCGTTGTGAAACGCAGCCAGGGCAACACATGAACAAATACGGATCTCGGTATCAACAGCATACTGCGGGGCGGGGAGGGGCTCGGTAAATTAGGTCAGTTGGAGGTTTCAAGTGCAAGTACGGGAGGAGGAGGAGGAGGAGGAGGAGGAGGAGGAGGAGGAGGAGGAGGTGGGGGTGGGCGCATAGGGGTTTTCGACTGTTTTGGAAATGGCTTCTGCAAAGGGCCGTTCTAGACGAAGGCCTCCCTGTGTTAGGAGTGTGCACTAGTACGGACCCGAACAAAGGCCCCAATTCAAACGGCGAGCTGGACGTGGAGTTTCAAACACAAGAGGGATCTCAGCATAGGTGGCAAAGAGCATGATCCCTTACTCTAGAAACGCCAAAGGCAAAAGGAGCACTCCCTTTTTGCTTTGACTCCCCGCTCAGGACTTCTTGGAGAAGGAGTGGCCACGGCTGGGACTGCCTTTGCCAGTGTACACCCTCGTGGCCCGGAAAGAAGTCGGGAACACTGGAGCACCTTTTGGGGTGTAAAAATAGAGGCTTGAGGGATGGCCAGCCTTCTTCCTGTATAAAGTTCAATACTAGACCTCTACTGTGATCGTGATAGACCATCTAATCTTCATGCCCCTGAGGCACTTAGGGTCCATGGTTTAGGATTTCAGTGTTTGGGGGTTCGGGTTTACGGTTCTAAGCCATCGGGCCTTGCGCACTTCAGAGTTTAGGTGTGCGGAAAGGGGAAGTGGTGATACTCTGAACCTGAAGTGCTTCTACTATGTCCAAGTACAATGCTTCCTAAATTGTTCCGTCGATGAGGTCATGCAGAAATTGCGGTGTCGGTAGATATTATACACATACATCCACATCTACATACCTGCATAAAACTTGGTAAATCAATGCATTGTGTGCCTGCGGTCATGATGGTTGCGTTCTACTGGTGTTGCATATACTCTGTGCCTCATGTGTACTTGTTGATTGCCCCTATCTTGTTCTGTCGTGTCTCCTGTTGGCAGCTGGGCCGCTACATCGCACGTGTCGTGTCTTGGCATCATGCCAGTCCATATGATGCTACACTTTGTCACATTGAAGGCGTTTTAGTCTATCACAGTGTAGAAGATATCGTTTGCTGGGCAGCGAGCTGTCAGAGAGAGAGAGAGGGGGACAGAGAGATGGATCTACATACTTACACAAAGACATACCCAACCTAAATACATCCATAGATCCATTCATATACATATATATATATATACATGTACATATATACACATGCATAAGTGCATGCACAATATTCACACATAGAAAGCACGGCCAGTTGATTAGTTTATCAGCGATGGGGTTTGCAGGCTTATGGTCGAGTGGTTTAGGATTTGAAGGCTTCGGGCTTGTACTGAACCCCGGAGGGCCATAAATGAAGCAAAAACACCCTAAGCCGAACACATTGTGTTGAATGATTCGGTGTGGCTCCAGTGTGGATCGGATCAAAGTCTTGCGCTCTTGCGTGGTATGCTTTTTCTACGGAGCCCTCAATTTTTTTGCGGATACGATTTCGGGATGGTGTGTTCTCCTCTCTCTTTCGGTAAATCGGGGACCCTGAATGTAGATAGGTGTTCTTTGTGAAGAGAGGAGGCTTGAAAGCAAGACCTAGAACACATTTGAGGCCGAGGACCCCAAAGACCTTTAGCCCTGAACGACCACGTTGAAGGCCTCAACGGATTGCTAGCACATATTAACAAAACTGTCAGTGTTATCGGTATGTATGAAGATATTTGTGCCCTCTTCTGGACATGAAGACGTCCATTCGGGGATTTGTCCATCCTAGGAGCTTGGCTCTGGAACTGGCTGGCTCGGAATGAGTCTAGCACGGAACCTGGTGGCAATGCCCAGCCCCTCGGGCTCTCCAGTCTATAAGGGTGCTAGAAGGATAATGAGATCATTGATGTGAAGGTTGTTGGTTTCTAGAGGGTTTCACAAGGGATTTGGGAGCTATGCCTCATGGCTCAGAGGGTAGGGCTTTGCAGTTCAGGTTCAGAGTTATTTGTGGCTTGCAGTTTAGGGCCCAGGGTTTCTGGTGTTGAGTTCGAGATGAGTCTTCGAGTTTATGCCTTGGAGTTTGAGTGTTTGATGTTAGCTTCGTAAGAGGAGGTGTCAGGGGTTGGAACCCGTGCGCTCTGATACCCATTACCCCGGGCTTTAATTACACCTTGGATCATGGACCTGAAACCCTGACTCCTAACCTCGAGTCCCAAAGCCAGAACCCCAAGCGTCAGTTACTCAACCTTGGTCCTGAGCCACTCAGAGATATTTACCCCACCGTCCTACTTGCCATGGGTATGGTACAGTGTTTCCTGCATGAGAGTATTTGGGTGCTCAGGATATGTCCAAAAATGTAAACATACACGTGACACATAGAGAGATACGCACGCATACATATCCTTGCAGAATTCAGGGGCCAAAGTTGAGGCTTTGTCATTCTGAACCCTAAACCCTACACCCTAAACCTGAACCCTATACTTTCAGCCCCAGCTTCGGCAGGCAAGCAGGGACATCCGGCTCCAATATCCCGTCTTGATACAGTCGTCTTCGGAGTATCACGGATAATATAAGGGCCTAAATGATTAACAATAGTATTTTAGGGGTTCTTTATTATGAATATTATATAGCATAGTTGGCCCCAAAAACCTAGTCGAATTATCAAGGCCCCTATACTTGGGCGCTTTGCAAGGAAGGGTACGAGCAGCTTGTTAATTGGATATGTCAGTAACAGTTATTGTAGATACACGGCTTACAACCCTACTCATCAAGCTCTCTGATGGTTGAAGCATGGTATCTCTTGGGTGCTCAGACGGCCACTAAAGTACCCAACGGGCCCCAAAGCGGAACCCTTAGACTGTAAATCCTAAACCCTTCCTCGTTCTACCAAAGCGACGCTAAAGACTACATTCCCAGAGTGGGGTTCTTACAAAGTCCACCTGCACTCGAGTATAGACTGGGTCCTACAAACTAAGAAACTCTAAGCGGCAACCCTGAACGGCCTGCATCAGCTCGCTCCATGACCGTGCTCACTGAGCGCCGCGGAGACGCAATGAAGCAGCCTGGAAGCGATGTTAGCAGCAGCTCAAAATTCAATTGTGGGATGAAGGCAGGATGGAATCCATAACCTTTGTTAGTAATTGCCGTGATCCGACACGCGGACTACTAGAATCCGCATAAAGAGCCTGTAATACTGGGTTTGGAGCCAACCTTTGAACTCCGTTTGCCCCGCCGTAAACTGACCTGGCCTCGCCGGCACTCACTAGTACTCACTAGCGCTCAAAAGTCCCTACTAGTGCACACCAGCGCTCAGCCGTACCAGCTCTGGAGAGCGCTACTACACTGTACTAGTGCTCACGAGCACTCAAAACCAACGTTATGCCTTGGTGGGCCCTGTAATCCTGACTAGGCCGTGGCAGGGCTTTGCAATCCTCACGAACAAACCATACTACAAAGGCTTGCTAAGCTCTATTAGGGCTCGCCAGCGCTTGGTAGTGCTTGGCAGGCCTTGCTATCCAACCATCCGTTTCTGTTGGCAAACTCCATTTCCTGTCCCCCCTGAGGGGGCTCTACGTACATCATAGTTCATTGATTTTGGCTTAAACTCCCCGAAACCCTAAACCCGAACTTGCACAGCCCTCGGCACTAGCTCTCTAACCCCAAAATCCTAGGGGCTTCGGCCCCGAGCCCAGCTCAGGCCACAAGTCCGACTCAGAGAGAGCCCAATTTGGGGGTTTCGGGTGTAGTCGGGTTTAGTGGTTCTTGCTTTGTTCTTTTATAGGTGGTGGGGGGGGGAAGCAATCCCTGCAGACCCCGCAAACCCCGCAATCCCTTGCAAACAAAAGCCACACGTCACATCGGCCAAAATTGTCCAAGCCTCGGGGGGAAAAGCAGGTTGCGCTAGGGTTGGGGTGCTGGGTTTTATAGGGGTTTAGGGTCCAAGGGGCGTAAAGTCTTAAAGGCTATGGGCTATGAGCTATGAGCGACCTCTAAAAGCTTGTTTGCTGGGGTTTTAACGGGATCATGGAAAGTTATTCTTGGTCCTGGGTTGATGCGGCCTTATGCGTTAATCCAGCAAGCTCACAGCCCTAGTCAAGGTCATAAACAAATCAACTGTATTTACTACCTTACTTCTGACCCTACTTACCAGGTCAGGTCGCCTGATCCCTCAAGAAGTACACATACACCTTGACCTGCAAAGGACTTCTTGTTATTGCTAATGTTCAAAGCTGTATTTCTGAATGCTGGAGTGTTTGGCTTCTTTGGAAGCTTAGGTTCCTGATGAACAACATCGAGTTCAACATTGCGGAGGGCCTGCCGCTGGAAGACTTGACGCTCAACCTCGAACTCTGGTAAAGGGTACCGCTTGCTTAACGCCCTAACACCGGAAAAAGCTCAAGCCCTAAAACCCAAACCATGTTCCAGAAACGCTCCAGGCCTTTCTAGAATTCGACAAAAGCTTGAAAAAAAAACACAAGCTCCTGAGATTGTATGGAATTTCAGGAGAGCGGACGTTCTGGACTGGTCCGATTGGGAGGCCTTTGGGTGCTCTGTTGTGGAAACTGGCTGCAGGGCTTTAGGAGTTTGTGCTTTAGGACTTTAGGGCGGTCGAAGGCACCTTCAAGCTCTGCTAGACAAAACAGCCCCCCCTCCCGCCCCGCTCCAAAGATTGCCCAGCAGATGCTTCGAGGGCATCCGGGGTCAAGCGGCCTCAAGACGTTGTTTGGGGTTTGGGGTCTGCGAGGATTCTGGGCGGGGCTTCAGGGTGTACGGATGTGCGGATGTGGCTGGCTTTGGCGGTTTGAGAAGTTTTAGTAGGTGGTTCACGTGGCGCTTCGAAAAATTCGAGACTCCCAGCTTGAGTTGGTGGTTCAAACTGCAGCTATGGTTCATTATCAGAGTCAGTATTGTCGGGAGCGCTATCGCTATTATTGACATACGTTAATTCAATTTGGCATTTCCACGCCTCGCCCGCAAACTCGACGAGCTCACGGCTCAGCTTCGCATATGCAGGTCCAACCCGTGCCTCGAAGCCCGAAAGCCCAAACAGCCGGCATACCTCTAAGAACGTGAGCTCTCCTTATTCCAGAAGGCCCAACAGAACCGAAAACGAAACGACCCCTGCAACGCCCAAGCCTCAAACCCCTCACACAAGAACACACTGGTCGCAAATCTTGCCCCTTTCCCTGATAGGGGAGTGTGGATCCTCCGGAGTCGCTTGTGACGGGTTCTGCAAAGGCGGGGGTGGGGGGAGCGGGGGCGATCTGGGCTAAGGGAATTTAGTATGATGGACTGCTTCATATATATACACACACCACCAACAACAACTGTGGATAGCTAATGTCCTGAACGCCTGGGCTGCCCTAGCATTCACCTACGTGCTTTGGCTAGGCTCTTGCAGAGGGAGCATGTGTTGGGGAACCCGAAAGGATAAACTGAATCATTATTCAAAGCACTTACAGTTACATTACACTCGCACTCGAGCCAGTGACGGTCATGTAGGCGCGGAGACGTTCGGCATAAATGCTGCAAGTAGCTCTGGGGACCATCCTCACCCTGCAAGGTAAGCAAAATCCTTGCTTGTTGGGGATATCCCTGAAGATGGTTGACTTGGGGTCTTCTAGATCGGGGTAGCCTGCCACATACCGGACCGCTGGAGACGTGACAATGTAAGCGGTTTCCAACAAAACGCTGAACCCTAACCCCCTGAAGCCCTCAAAGCTAAACCGTCAACCCCAAACCCCCGCCCGAAGCCTAAAACTCTCCAACCCTAAACTGCTAGCAAACCCTAAGACCTAGAACCCTCAACCTTCAAAACCCCCAAACCCTCAATTAAGCTACGTACCACGAATCCAACCCCGAAACCCTATACCCTCGACCCCAAACCCTAAACACCCGAAAGCCTGCCGCGAAGCTCTGTAGACCTGAAGGATTTCGATCTGCTTCTCGGGTCGGATCTGGCGTACAACTCGCAACCAAGCTGAAACCTCGAGGTTGCCTCTGGACCCAATGTAGGGGCCTTATACTTACTAATTAGAATACGGCCTTGCTGGGGGGGGGGGGGGCTCTTTATGATAATTAGGGTATAATACCCCCTTAAACCCTAGTCTCAGCATTAGGGAAGCTACACTCTGCACTAGGTAAGAGACGTATGAATTTGTCCTAGTTGCTCTTGCTGGTGGTGTGACGGGAGCTCTATTACTTGAGATTGTCATGTCTTGCTTGTCGAGGGCTTCCGGCTTGCAGTGCACGCACATTCTCACCTAAACTCGACACTTTGAACGCATCAAGCTCGTATGCCCACCCTCCTTGAATGCGTGGTGGATCTGCTGCTGCTGAAAGGGTGCTATTCATGGATCCGCCATGCTCAAACATCGCAAACCATGATGACACCTGTGCGACAGGTTGAACCGTGTGGCTGCCGCAGAAAGCGCGACAACACACAGACAACGCAACGAAAGCGGAGCAACTACCGATGCTACCTATGATTGCAATGTCATAGACCGTTTACATCGTAGTTAAGGGCGTGCAGCAGCGAACTCACCCCAATGATGAATGCACCGTCCTTTGGTCGCACATGCACAAATGCATTGACATGGTTTCAAAATACAATAAACAAGAAGAGCTGTAATGGTAGATTACTTCTGTGAGGTTTGGCAAGTCCAGAACAGGAAAACCGAGAGGGACAAAACACGGAAACACGCCACGAGGTGGTCGGTGCATGAACCACGTTTGCCCTGTTTCATTGCATCGGAGCGTTGTAATCGGTGTTGTTGGTAAAGTTGGCGTTAGTTTTGGTCTGTTGGTCTTGCGGTTGCAGTTGTGGTCGTTCTTGTCGCTTCTAGCGACTAGGCTCCTACCCACTGATTTAAAAGAGGCTCTTCATTGTTTTTGGGTTGCCAATGTCGGGAAAGAGGTTTTAGTCGGTTCAGGACTCAGTCTGTGGCCGAGTCTGTGGTTGGGGCTTCCAGTAGCGGCTGAGGTGTTGCGCAGCCATGTTGGTGGATGTCCTCCGCTGGTTTCTGTCGCAGAAGCCACAGCTGTTGGTTCTGCTGGCGCACCGGCCACTTGGTCGGCGCAACACTGATGCTGTAAGTCGGATCCAGTGTGGTTTTGGACTTAACATGCCCACAAACCATAAACCCTAAGACATAGCGTCACAAAGCACGACAAGCACTGAGCGTCTGCATCGTAACCCCGTGCACTCCACAGGTATCGGGTTTCTGGAGCCCCGGAAGTAATACTTTCGTTTTCAGAACAATCGGAATTGTGGTAGTAAGAAGTTTTCCCTATCGTGGCGCTGTCAAGCCGGATCATCAGGACAATGGTAAGAATGCCATACACTTCTTGTGGTATTGACTATGGCCAAATTGTCGCCATCTTTGCCTTGCCCGTAGCAATGACGTTCGAATCCTTCCGAGCCCCTAATCCCTCCGACCTCCAAATCTCAGCAGCGCTCCTGGTCGGGTGCAAAGCATGCCTGTTAACTCTAAACCGACCTCTCGCGATGTCAGCGTCAAATCCTCACCTCCCCCAGTCCTAGGCTACGGCGACAGCCGGATGTCGACGTAGCTTTTTTCCAGGCCTTGTCCATGTTGATGGCAAAGTTCAGGGTGTAGGAGTCTTCTTCCTGCCCTTCACCTACTCCTCCCGATCGTGCTACCACCATGCTAGAATGCCGGCATGCCAGCAAACATACAAGAATGTGTGCATGCCGGACATGGACAGGGGATACAGGCATGCACACACTAGCACATGCTTTATGCTTGTACCCTTCTTGTAGCCTTTGTAACCTTGCAGTACCTCGAGAGTCTGCGACACACAAAGCAGCGAACCCGTTCTTTCATAGTAAATACTAGACCCCCAAAGGCCTAAACCTCTGCACCTAAACCGAAAATCCTAAAACCGAAGCCCCTAAATCCTTTGCAAAACTCTGTGTTGGGACCTCTTTACCCGCCATCATGGAACCCTGTTTTGAGCCCTGTTCTAAACCCCGAAAACCCAAAGCTCCTTTGCAAAGGCCTGCTAGAGCGCTGGAGCCCTGAACTTTATTTAACTGCCCTACTCAGAAAGTCCGATACCCTTCGATGTCGACTATCCTTCGAGGAAGGAACATTCAAACCCTATCCAGATCCTAAAAAAGCACCAGAAACACAGGAAATCATTTGTACATCCCTATTGAGTCTTGGGGGTTTGAAGGTTTCTCCAAGGGTGCCTGGTAAAGTTCAACCCGCGGGCTGGTTGGGCTGTAAGGCCACATGAAACCACTGGGAGAAGAGCAACGCAACAAACGAAATCTTGGCAAAGGAGAACCCTAAGCATTCTGGGTTGAGGGATTAGGGGTTTGGGGGTCCAATATCTCTATACCTGAGCTACACCCTCATGTTGAAAAAGCACTTTCGTGTCAGGGACTGCTCAAGAAGGGCTTGGACTACAATGCCGTGGCCGCAGAGGCAGCTAAGTCATACAACCCTGAAGCAGAGAGAGCCCTTAACGCTGGTGCCTGCCTGATTAATAGTCGTGTTCCTTAAGCACTCCTGATGTAGCCAAGAATAGAAATACCCTGAGCACTGGTCTAAATTTAAGGAATTATGCCAATATGCTATCTGGTCCGCCGGGGATGCCATGCTCTACGTGGAGGTTCGGTGGTATTGATTTGAACACCTATCTTGCTCTTTCCTTGTGCCGTTCCGGGGTTCGGGTCCCTTACGCGCCATTGCTCAAACTACGAATAGTTTTTGTGAGGGATTCAGACAGTGTCAGACAGAGAGAGCGAGCGAGTGAGCGAGGTAGGCAGGGATTGTTTAACTTGCTGCAGCATCGGGCCGTGCCCACTTCGGGGCTTGAAGGCCCGAGGTCCCTTCGGACCTTAAACCGAGCGACGGACCCATGCCAAGAAAGAGAGAGAGAGAGAGAGAGAGAGAGAGAGAGAGCCGTAGCAACCGACTGCATCTAGGTAAACTCCACGGCAGGGCTTTCTGTCCAAACTATGGTTTTTTTCTTCGGTAGGTTCATGGCGAACTTGATTCACAGGTGGAACGGAAGGCAAGCGCTAGGAATCCATACAGCGAATCTCGGGACAGAGTGCTACTGGCAAAATCGCCGGCAGCGTGCGCTGAGGGGCCTATGGTTTTACGACCATTGTGTCGAACCCTGGCGGTCTCTGAAACGTAGACCCGTGAAGTGGTTTCCTGCAAAATGCCCTATGGTAGGAAGGGCATTTAGCAGAGTTCGTGTTTCTACTCTCTAATTAGATTCTTCGCCGCGGGTCTGGGATTGCGCACAGCCTCGGGAGTTAGTAGGCAGGCAGCAGGGCAGGACAAGTGTCATTCTTCCTGTCTCGTGGGTGGACACCACGAAGTAGCGTTGCCTTGCTTCTTATATAATACTGGCGGTACCTTTTTTTAGGTATCCTTCTAGCACGGATCCTGCTGACTCACGGCCATAAATGCCCACGTAGGACCTGGAACCAAAGGATGCAAACGGTTAGGCATCAAGGATAAGGACTTCGATCAGGACTCAGTGGCTGTAGGTTCGAGGTGTGCGCAGGGGTCACGTGACTTAGTAAGTGCTCAGATATTGTTGCAGCTGGTCCCTACTCGGATCTCCGATGTCTGCAAAAGTTTGCATCATGTAACTCGAAGTTTATCGACGCACTTAGCTGGCAGGGGCATCATCCCGAAGATTCGAAGGAGCTGGATCCGCTACTACCAGGCGAGACCTAATGGTTCATGAGTATCTCAGGTTTGGGGTTGAAGCTGTGGGTTCTTCCAGCGGCTTCAAGCTTCTTTGGTGGTTTCAAGTTTGACGGGCATGCGGTCTGCGAACACATGTTTGAGCTTCGAGATCAAACAGTCCTAAGTCTTAGTTCCCTCAACCTCAAGAAAACCAGCGAGCCCTGCATCTTGACGCCTAAAACGGAAGTCTGCTCTGATGCTCAAGCTATGGCCACACCGGGCAGAGCAGTACCAGACAAGTCTGGAGACTTGGTAGTGATATCCCACTTATAGCCCGCGCATAATTTTGCTGCAGCCTACCCCGAAAGCTTACTCTAGCTATCTTGAACCTTGGGATCCCATCTTCGACATGACTGTGTTTAGGGAACACGTCACTATGTTTTGAAAGGGCTTCTAGCATATTTTTTCCTCTCCAGTTGCTGAAACACTGGGTCACATACTGTGAGTATGCTTAGGCTATCAACGAATAGTAACCGGGTTGGTGAGGTACCTGAAATCTTCGAAACAAGCTTAGGCTGGGGTGCTACGGGAACTCCAGTGCCAGCTGTAAGGAAGGAGCCTCCGGAAAGGGAGTATTCCAGGAACGTTCGTATGTGAATCAAACCCAGTCCGCTGTGTCCGGGAAGCACGACTTGCCCCATCCAGCCTTTTCGCACCCTATTGCAAGACCTCGACAAAACCGGGAAATCCACGACAGATCCTAAAATTACTGGCACCCTCACAATACGGACGCCTACTTTGGAGCAGCAAACCCCGACTATCCCCAAACGCATTCACAGATGCGGATTGGGCTGCAGAGTCGAACTTCGGATGTGCCGGCCCGAGGATGTTAGGCTGCAAGGCTGTAGGGCGCATGATTTGTAGTGCCAGCTTTACAGTTTTAGGGTCTGGGCCCAGTTTGTGCCCTTCTGGTTTGCAGTGTGGAGGAGGTTTGCGGTTATTCTTCTGTTGTTGGGCTTATGTTACCAGGCCTCCGAAGGTTTCCAAAGGCTTGTGAGGTGTATTTGAGGGGGGCTTGCTGCACATCTGTTTCTGTTGCATCGGTTCTGTTATTAAGTTACTGCGGCACTTTGCTGATAGATCGTAGTTCAGTATCGCAGTGCTACGAAGATTCTTGCTGTCTCAAGGCAGTACCCCTACTTGAGTTTTCCGAAACAGGCTTCCTACAAGTCGCCTGTTTGATTCCGTTGGTTACATTACCAGTTCCGGTCAGGCTGGCGTTCGCAAGCCCTTTGCAGGCTCTAAGCACCTGGAACCCAAATCTCAGACTGCTCATGGGCAAAGTCTTGTTTCATCAACAATAAAGAACGTATAGATTATCAACATAACGGAAATAACGTAGTTTGACATAAGTCTTCAAGCCTAAATTTGTGGTATGTCGTACTTTTGAGGCTCGTAGCGAGCCGTAGGCTTCAAATTTTACCCTGACAGAAACTTTACATTCACAGCAAGCCGAGTAAACCCTCGATACTCAGCTTAACCTGGTGTACGTCTATCTAGAATTTGTCGGTGCCCAGTTTTTTGCTAGCTTAACCTCCCGAATTGTCCAATTCGACAAGCCCTCGCACAAAGTTTCACCCAGAGGTGTGGTGGTGTACCAGATCACCTGCTCCTCGCTAAGAACTATTCAGTTTTTTTTTCAGGCTTAGTGGTTGCAGGAGCCAGCGGTGCGCACGTCAATTGAAATCTTTCGCTCATGGGCTTATGGGAACAGAATCGGACATTAAGCCGAAAAATGTCAGTATTGCCTGTGTCTTGAAGGTTTGGCTTCAGGGATTTCCCGCTGAGGGTGTTGTGGTTCAGCTGCATTCTGCTTTATGTCCCCTGCTGCTTTCGGGTTGCGGGTTGGTTTAAGCGCTCAGGGTTTCATGGATTCAGTGTTTGTGTATCAGCCGTTAGGCAATGAGCCCACTAGGCGCAAAGCGCCAAAAGCCTCAAGCCCACTATAGTCTCCTTTTTTGTTCATATAAAACCCAAGAGAAGATTAAAAATAGCATATTAATTATGGTTCTAAGGGAAGTATAGCACGGTGTTGAAGCACACGCAATGTGTTTATGCATCGGCCATGGTCTGGAGAGGGTGTCTTGTGCCTTCGAGAACGGAGTGGTTGCTTTCTTTTCTTACATCAGATGTCCAGCACTTCGACTTTCCGTAGCCCTACACCCAAATTCAGAAAGCCCTACAGGCCCTAAACCGTCAAGGCCTTAAATCCTAAAGCAAAAGGCCCCAGGCCAAATGGCCAAGACCTGAGAAACCTCCGAAGACGGACAGCAAACTTTCAGCCGAACTCGAAAGCAAGGTGTGCAGGGCTTAGGATTGGCTTCCGTTCTACAGGGTTTCGGGGTCCAGGAGTTCAGGATTTGTATGTTTACCGTCTGGGGCTATAGTTTTAAGTAAAGGTCTTTAGGCTTGCTACGATCTGGATTGCGACACCACATACGTTTCAGCTTGTTCCTTGTGGACTACTGTACATGGAGGCGGGAACGGAGTTAGGTGCAGATCGGGTTTCCATTTGTCAGCGCCAGCTGCATGTGGTTTGTACATGCACGTCTGCATAAAACCCGCAGAGGAGGGAAGTGCAGTAGATCCCTGAGTTTGTTCGGCCATCACATCTTCATTCATGCAAACAGCATGTTGCATGAAACCTCAACTCAACTTAAGATCCAAGTACAGATCCCTCCGTGACTACCTAGAATATTGGGTTCTAAGATGTTCTGAGCGCTCGATATCCTGAAGCCCCAAAGACGTAAATCTCGATGGCACGGATCGTTGAAATTCCAAATCGGCACTCCCTGAGCCTCAAAGTAGTGGCCGGCTTAGGATTTCAGGGGTTCAGCTCTGGTGTTGGTTGGGTATCACCCAATGAGTAGGTCTCTTTCCTGTACTGCCGTCATGCCGTTAGAAAGTCAAGAAGCGTACACAAAATCATGTCCAGTTTAGTTCAGGAGCTCCTCAGGGTGCTGATGGCATGGATTTCATTGCGTACTGTCCATATGGCAAGATTGCATTGTTCTCGTTTCTCCGCCCGATTAAACCCCAAAATGAGCATGTCTGACTTGGAATGAGATCCAGGTGCAGACCACGATCAATTTCTAGTCCCCTTTAGTGATTGCCTTCTTCACAGACGCTTGGCTGCAGGTTAATCACCATCCAAGGGTAGGTGTATGTCTAGCACCTAAACAGTGGCGTATGAGGACGGTCCTGAAGTGGGTTCTTCAGGGTTCAGAGTTTCCGGTTTCTCCTCGAGCTTTGCACGCAACCCTTTACTCAAAGAAATGCAGGGTCGTTTGCTCAGTTCAGCTAAACCCTAGACCTGAAACCCTACACCCCTGAACGCTGATGAATCTGAAGCATAGCAGCATCCTGATTGTCACAGACGTTGACTACTACATGACTTCTATCCTGAGTACCCTTGTTTTGTCAAGGGCAGAGTTTTAAGTCAGAGCAGCGATTGCTTTCGTGGCCTTGGTTTATAGATTCAGGTTCTCAGTCTCCGATATCCAACATTTTAAGCTTCCGGGCCCTGACGATGACCCGCCGATGCAATGTGGTAAATCTGCATTCTTTTCGGACTTGTATGTAATTCCTCTTGAGGGAGGCAGGCGCAGTAATCAGGAGTCTACGTTACGTCTCAAAGTATGGCATAGTCTTTCCAAGGGAAGATTCTTCCTGTCTTGATGGTGGGTTGTTGTTTCTAGGTATTTAGGAGAGTTTGGGGTGTGCGTTGTCACTTCTGTGTACAAAAGAACGAAGACTCGGAACTTTCGTGCGTTTCGGTTTAATTCGGGGAGAGTATGTTGGCATTCAAGATCTTGCGTTGTGGAGTATGACCAGTATTTCAGGGCCAATGTAGAAAGAACCCCGCTCAACCCCTACCCGGCATGTCTCTAAGAGCCTCAGCATCAATATCAATCCTACAATAATGATTATTATGGGTTTCAGGGCAACTTATGCAGGGGTCTGCATTCCGGATCGGCTTGAGGTGCTAGAGACAAGGGGTTCAATAGTTCTGCTGCTGCGGTGCCTCAGCACTAAGTAATAGACATTGGTTTGGAAGCCCTGGCTAGTCCTCCCAGTTTCGCTATGTTTGAAGTCTCCGGCCTCGAAATTCGAAGGCGTTGAGCTTTAGGCTTGACAGTCGGGGACCATGTCTAAGCCGAGGCGAAACCGAACTCTGGTCGTGCTGAGCTGTTTGCAACGCCAAAGGCTGCGCTCAGGTCTGCAGACCTTAGGAGCCCACAGAGCAAAAGACCGGATTGGGGTTTAGGGTGCGACATCTTTCGGATTTAGGACTCGTGGTTCGGGGTCTTAGAACAGAGCATAGAGGCAAGAGAGCTGCGAGTTTACGGTTCAACTCCTCTGCAAGAATATCACCCCTCATCCCCTGTAACAAAACCCCCACCGTCCAAGAGACTAGCAGCTGATGATTCTAAGCCGGTGTGCACCTCTTTGCCCACAGTTTACTCAAATGCAGGTGATGCACATCCTTTCTACGCAGGGCTGCAAAGCAAACGAACCTCTAGTTCCTAGTCGGTCAAGAGTATTGCTACTGCGCGGCTGAGTAGGCAACGATTAGCCTGGTTGGGTAGGTATAAAGCCGTTGGCTTCAGGCTGGCGTACCCTTAGAGTTCCGACGATGGTTCACGGGTTCTAGACGGCTTTTGATGTTTATCTTGGGGTCTCCTCATCAAAACGTTAAGACTTTGGGCTCCGGATCCCCGCCACCCAGAACCTTAGTCTCGTTGCGAGGAGGTCGTATTCAAGCAAGGCCGTTGTTCTAAAGTATCCCACCTCAACATTGCGGCTTTAGGTTTGAGGAAGTTCCAAAACGTGAAGTTGAGCACAACCTCAATCCTGCCCCAGTTTGCACCCGCGACATCTGCGAGGGCACGAGGGAAAAATAGACCGGCCGACCACATCGCATCTTCGGTGCTTCAAACCAGCACCGAGCCCTGAAAGCGACCATTTCCATAGTCTGCCTGGCCTTGTAAGAATGCATTCAGCGGACCAGACTTCAAGCGCACAAAGGGCTCCTGTTTCAATTTGTCTTTTCTCTTCGACTCTTCTGTACTATACACCCCGCACCGACCAGCATACCTTACAGCCTCATGTACTCGACCCTGAAGCAAAGCCTAAGGAGCATCAACATCGCTTCAGGGGCCTTCCGGGCTCGCCTTGAGAAGTCTTTTTGATGCAGCACAACCCCACAAACCCCCAGGATTGGTATCATAGCTGGCAACAAGCACGACAGCTGATGCCGCAGCATCAGCATTACGCGTCATGATTTTCACTGTCCGAACAGTCCCTCCAAAACCGTCTTGCCAACCCTCCAGCCAGCGAGCAGCGGCCTTCGAATAGATTCGTTTCTCAAGCACCGGCGTCCTCTTGTACAGCAGGGCAACTGCTGTGCCTTGGGGATCTACATGCAGACCTCTCCAGGTATTCAAAACGTGAAACCCAAAGACCGTGCGAGGTCGCTGTTCAGCAATGCCGAGTACGACGAAGAGGACAAGGAAGCCGACGTGGTGGGAAGCCGAGGAATCACGACATCTACATCCAGAATCGAACACAAGATGGCTGTTTTGCCGAGAAATCGGTCTAGTGTTTACCTTCGTGTTTCTTGGCATCTGGTATTTCGAAACTATGCAGCTTACTTCCTGCAGTTGCTGCCGACGTTCGCAGCTGAGGAACTGGAACATAGTCTACAGCTGTTGTTCACTGTGTACCTCGTCTCACTCCCCCTTTAATTGCTACTACTGATGCTTTCGCTGACACAACTACTACCAAAAATACTGCTACGAAGACTATGACGACGACTACGACCACTGCTGCTGCGATCACAACCACAACCACGTCTACGACTGCCACTACTATTACTGCTATTGTGCTTCTACTACTCCGGCAACGGCTGCTACGACAATGATTAAGCTGACGGCGCGGACTGTCTCAAAACGGTGGTAATGCTGATGGTGACACAGACTGTGAGGCTGATGTTGGTGCGTACTCTAATCTGTTGTTGCGACTTTTCGATGTACTAATCATGCTGGTATGTCTACTGGTGCGATACTCCTGCAGCCGACTTGTTCCCCAAGGTCTACGACAAGATCGACGTTAAGATGGACCAGCGACGGCTGAAGCAGCGCGAGAAGAAGATGCGTGAGCAGATCAAGGATGGGCCTGGGGTTTGAACTTCGAGAGGCGCTGTTTCGAGATTCCCGGCCTGCTTCCCTACATACTATAGAGTGTTTTGCAAGTGCGCCACCGCCGCATTCAATTTGTTTGGGACGCCGATATTGCGCGTTTAGGAGCAGACCAACGACGGAAAAGGCAGTCTGACAAATTCCGCAATCCACAGACCAGATAATTAGAAACCCCATCTCCCGACATCCGATGCTGAATGTTGTCACCCACTGTCCGACTGACCAGGAGCTGCGCGCACAGAAGCCGACCATTCAGCAGCAGTTCGCAGACCTGAAGTCATGTCCTCAATTCAGACCTGTGCAGAACCGCATGATGATGCTAGCACCTTCGACCCTAAAAGTTCATAAATCCGTGGTCCGTAACCTTGATCGCCATCCCGAATCGCTGAGTGCAAAGGCCTAGCCCTGAGCCCTCAACCACGGACCTGTAGAAAACGCTAAACTCTAAACCGTAAACCCTAAACCCCAAACTTTTTTCACCCTTTTTATTCAAGACATCTTCGGCTTCTTTCTTGCCAAGGCGAGAGCTGGCAACCGTCAGCAACGAGGCCGGTTTTGGGGGGTCGGGGCCGGGGTTCAGGGGTCGGGGATTGGGGTTGCCAGGAGGCAAAGGCTCTCTGTGTCTGGGTTAAGTGTTTACGAGTTATGAGGGTTATCGGGTTTTTCGGAGCGGTCATGAGCGGTTCTTCACAGTGGCATTTCGATTCAGACCTTGTGTCGATGGTTTGGTGCAAGGCTCGCTTCAACAAAGGCGGTACACCTCCAGCTGTGCCTTTCATTGCAGCTATTCGTGTTGGGGGTTGTTGGTATTCGAAGTAGCATCGACTATTCGTCGCATGATTGCTCTTTTGCTCGAAGCTTTCGTTGGTGTGAACATTGACATGATACGGCTTCTACGATTGTTTGCCGTTGCTGTAATGTGTTCTTCCTTCCGTGCATGTCATTGCAACTCGTGCCGTCATTGTCACCCCTCTAGTGGTCTGTAAGTTTGGTTCCCACAGGCTACGCTTTTAAAGCTGCTTATCCTTTCTCGTACACAGGAAGGTCGGCTTATGATTCAGGCAAGTCCTCTCAGAAGCTTGATCCAATGACGTAAACCCCTCCCCACCTGAAGCTCCAACCATGCTGCCTAAGTCCCGAAGACCATTAGAGCTTTCAACCCCGAGGCCTGCACCAGTGGCAGGGAATGTTCTTAACCGGCGTTCCTGCGAAGTTTCCTTTTTCGTGTTCTGTAAATGCTTGGGTAAGCCGCAGTTGTATACAGGTAGGCGAGGGCGCAGGAGCCTGATGTTTGGATTGTTTGAAAGTCCCTCCAACAGACGCCCTGTGCGCAGCCTGAAGAGACCCCTGATAACATCCAAATATATTCCTCTAACATCCTGAAAGGCCTATAGTTACAAGAGCCCACCCTCAAAAATCGCTCCGCCTGCCAGGAGTGGGAAGGCATTCCGGAAGCCCAAGAGCACTTGAAGGCCATGCCAATCAAGAACCGGCGTAGCACTCTAGCGGCAACGGCTGGTCGTTACTGATATTTAGTATGAGTCTTGCTCTTTGTTCTTGTTATCATTGTCATTGACAGTGACACTCTCACTGTCATCACTGTAAGAAACCATTACTGATACTTTTCGACTCGTAGACATCCAGCTAGTCATCGTAATGCAGTGGCTGCCTGCCCTACATCTACCTGTTCTGAATAAGTGCAGAGGCCGGGTTCTATGTGGTCTGCGCACGAGTCCTCGTTCAGATCAGGCGGTTGAGGCGTTACGTAGGTGCTGCGTGGTGCAAAGTCTGGCAGTGGACTGTTCAAGACGGTCCTTGCAGGATGTCCTTATTCTTAACATTGCCGCAACCTGCAAAACTGCACGAAGAAGGTCCTGGAATCCTAAGGCCCTAAGGGTCCTGAAGTCTAAGCCTTGGAGTCCCCCAAACCTTTGCCAGAGATGCAGGTGAAGCAGAGGAAGTCCTCCAATTTCACGCAGAGCGGGCATGATTGACGTTTGTCTCCAAGCCCAGGAGCATTGACCCAAAAAGACTCCACTAAAGCGTTCTGTCAATTGTAGCGGTGATTCCTCTTTAATGACACTCCGCCTCTTGAGGGCCTTGGGCTTCAGGATGGAGGGGTTTTTGGGGGGGACACTTGCCCATGTCGGTCCAGGGCCATTCAGCGATTGTGGGGTTCGGTGACGGATTTTGAGGCCTTTTCAGAAGTCTGTATTTCTCAGAGGCATGGGCAGCTGTGTGACCTGAGACAGAGCCACAGTACGATCAAGGTGTTCGTGTCGGAACTCCCAGCTGTTCTGCCAAGAACCTAAACCCGAAGCTCGAAGAATGCACGAAGGCAGTGTCTGGGACCGGGCATGAACCTGGTCATCAAGCTTTGTAAGCTTGAGAAAATTACACACAAGGTCTGCAAGTCGAGGTCAGCATTGTGTCACGTTTCCATAGAGAGAAACTCAAACTAGGAACCCAGTATCCACCGCACTGACAACAGAAGTAAGAAGCATAACATGTCCTGAGCCCGTAGCGCACATGACAGGCCTACACCAGATGCACTTCTTGCGGGCATGGCCAGCGGGCGCGGCGTCAGTGCCTGGCTTGGGATTTGGGGCCCAGGACATAGTTTGCTAGGCCTTGTCTGACTACGTCTAAGGTACATGTAGTACATCGGCATATTTTCAGTTATGACGAGGGCAGAAGAAGAGTGTTATTTTTCAGAACAGCCCCAAATAGTTTTAGCGTCGTAGTGCCTGCGTTCCCCCCCAAACCTTTGGGTATAAGAGGCCTTCAGAAACCCCAGCAGCCCTTGCAATCACAACTCAATAGAATCTGGCTGCACCCTGAACCGCCAAAATCCGAATGCTCCAGACCCGCTTGTGGATAAGCAGGTTGGCTTTGGAGTTCTGCGGACATGGGAATATCAGCGGTGTTTGCTACGACGAAGCGAGGGAAAAGCACCCGAACATGCGTTACGTTTGGTTCCAAGTGTT